TCTCTGCCAGTGGCTGCTAGGATTTGAGCACTAGTATTCAGCTTGATAAAGCACCCATCAAGACCTACATTTAGAAGCAAACAACAAACATGTATAAAGTTGTCATCTACAAGCAAATGTGGCATGAACATTAACAAAACATTCTAAATAAAGCAAAGTAACATGTAACTAAACAATGAATGGCCTACATGCATTGAGAAATCCCTCCCTGGCTCCATTTATGCAGAAGAACATAGCATGAAACCCTGGTCCTGGATGTGGTCTTTTTGTTGTAGATTTTGGAGTTATTGTTGCAACAACGATCTACTTCCAAGGTTTGTATCCATGATGGTTTGGGCATAGTCCCTCAGCCTGGGATACTGCTTCTTGTGCTCTCCTAATACAGCTTCCACAACAAGATTTTTGGCCCTATAGGCCATGTGCCTGGGCACTTCAACACCATACTTCTCCTGGCAGTTGTCAATCATAGTAGCTATGCTAGTTGTTGGGTCAGACCTAAACAATGACTCATATGTCTTTGGAAGCCACTTAGCACTAACCCTAGATGACTCTGTAGTGCTTGGGCAAGTGTGTTGCAGCCTCATCTTTTTGATAGCAAATGTCTTTTCCCCTTTGATAACTGCAGCAACTATGAAGAACTGGCAGTGCTCTTGTTTGCAACATGCAATGATCCTTTTGTCTGAGTTTCTGTGGTACCTGAAATTTCTGGACTGTGTAATGTGTAGGCTCAACAATGCTTCTCTGAATTGCCGCTGATTCTTAAAGCACGTGTACATACATAATTGCTAATCTGGTTGCTCAAGTTTATCATTGTACCATATCCTAGGTTTCCTTTTCTTTGCCCTACTCTTCCTGCCTTTTTGTAGGACAAATGCTGGTGCCTCATGTCCATCATCACTGTCAAACAGCAAGCCATGATCTTCTTCATAAAATGAAGGATTGAAATTAGGTTTCAACTTTTCTAACACACTAGAGTGTGACCTAGTGGTGGGGCATCTCCTGACTTGCAGCTTCTGCCTCTTCTTTGCAGGTTGTTGTATGGGTGGTTTTTCTCTTTCAGTTGGAGACTCCTTTCAGTTGCAACATTCACCTCCTCCTCCTCCTCCTCCTCAAACAGATCCTCAACATCAGTGTCACCCTCATAATGCATGGGTGGTTCCTCTTCTGATTCTTCATCTAAATCTTCATCTTCTTCCTCTGCCAGTCTCTTCCCCTCTATTATCTCTGTGTGTTCAGCTAGAATGTAGTTATCAGTGTCATATGCACCCTCAGAGTCATAGTAACTCATATATCCCTCCTCTAAAAATTCCTCTTCCTCCAACACAACTTTCAGCTTCCCCTTGACATTTCTACTCTCTTGTGTGCACATAGCAGTAGGTTGAGAAGGATGAACTATACTATTGTTGCTGCACCGACTCTAAAAAACTACACCATGATCATCAACAGCAAGCACAGCAGGATCACTGAGATCATAAACAGCAGGTGGTTCATATAAAACTACAACTAATTCATTTGCTCTCTGATTAATGTTACCCTCACTAACCATACCTGACTCTCAACTAACAGGTGTTGTTGCCCTCGCTAACAAATTCAGAACTAATGAATCCTCATACTGCTTCTTTAGTTCTTGCAATTTGATGTTCATGTCAATCAGATCTAGTCCATGCTCTCTCTCAACTCCTGCTGCAGTTGTATTCCTCATGTGATACAGTTCATCATTAAAATTAAATCCTACTACTGTCAACAGTGCATACAGATTCAGAAATGTGACATCTGAGCTACAAATCTTTCTATCCAAATTCTGCCCAGCATCAAAGTGAATCCTAACATCCCATATAGCATCATCTAACCTACAAGCCACGTCAAAATTGAAATATTCAGTGCTTTAAGAACACTAACCCTAACCCTATGATTTGAACAGACAGAAGGAAAATAGGAGAGACTTACAGCACTCCATCCGCTCCACTGGTCTAGTGATGGCTTGTGGTTGGGTTGGCCAACCACATCTCAACGAGCCGCAACCGTTGCTCCAAGGACAGTGGCGCCTCCTCCTCTTCCTCGTCGTCGGTGGTGTTGGACGACCAGGAGCAGTCCAGCCCCACGTGGTCATCGCTCCCCATGCCGGAAAGGTCGCCGTAGCCGCCCACGACACCGCCGCCGCCGGGGGTCGCCGCAGCCATCGCCTGAGATCCACTGGGAGAGAGGAGATCGAGAGGGGAGAAGGAAGGCTAGGGTTTGTCTGGGGGATCCGACTCGATTCGACTGAGCCCGCTAAGACCGACCGCGCCGACCTCGTCCTAGTCAGCGCAACGGGCACGGTCCGATTGGCCATCGTGTCGCCTGACGGGTGGGGCCGTGCGATCAGATACATGGTCAATACGGAGTTATACGTCTGCCAGCCTTTTTTGTAACGATTAGGCCGAATGATGGTACTGAACTGCGACATGCATGAGCAATGGTACTGAATCGTTACACCGTGCTCAAGTGTGGTATCTCCTTGCAATTAACTCGTCAAAACATGACCGTCTTACTCATACAAGCCTAGTGGCAGTATTCCTTCTTAAGTTTATGCGTGGCAAATAAGGAGCACGCTGAGGGCACTTGGGAATAGCGTGTCTCTGACGTTGGGGCCCATGCATAGTCTCAAGCCATTTTTCTCTGGAACAACCGGTGCAACACCAACAAATTCTCGTCCGATGTTGCCCTCCATCTCTGCTCCGCCGCCTGCAGCTGGCTTGGTGCCCGAGAGTCCGCCACCACGCTGCTTTTTAAAGGAAAATTCGAGCTTTATTCATTAGAAATAATCATTACATTGTTTACGAAGATTGGTACAATTGCATTATATGGTTCCTCAAGCCAATCAAAAATGAAGGAAAATCTAGCCAACTTGGCAAGTTCATGAAGAACTTTATTTGCTTCTCTATTACAATGCTCGAATCTAAAAATAGGAAAATCGCAAGCTAAGTGAAAATAGTCATCAAAAATTGCAGCTGCTGCCCACGACGATCATCCTCCTTCGTTCATGGTCTCGATCACCTCCATATTATCCGAGTTAATAATTATGCGATTACAACCTGTCCTTTGTGCAAACGATATGCCAAATTTTAGCGCCAAGGCTTCAGCCATCAACACATCTGCACACCAGTCAATCTTATCATTTCCCCCACCGATGAACCTACCTTTGTCATCTCTTAAGACCACCCCAATCATACCCCTGAGAAGGTCATGGTCAAAAGAAGCATCAACGTTAAGTTTAACAAATCCCGTCGGGGGGCTAGACCATCCTTTTCTTTTCATGGAAGCCTTCGGCGAGGAGGCATCAACAAAATTGACAGTGAGAGCACGTATCCCCATGGATATTTGTTGTGCATTCTGAGTAGTCTCATTGTGTAGCAATTTGCGCCTTTCCCACCACAAGTACCAAGTTGATATGGCAATCATGTCACGCACATTACGGGTGCCCATAATACATAGTTCCTGATCTGGTAATGGAAGTAAATATTCCAAGATTGTCTCACCCGCATAGTCTATTTTATAAGCTATGTCGATAATATCATCCATCCCTAGTCTTCTCCAGACTTCTTTTGCTCTGATCGCCACCACGCTGTTCGTTGACCTACAAAGACAAAGAGGGGAATGGGATTTTAAAAGGAGACGGTAGGGTGAAAGCGGCTAAGGGCTAAACACAACCAGGTCTCTTTGTTTAACACATCTCCGTCACCACAAGACTGTTAGAAAATTAAGGTTTGAGGTCTACCCCTTATTCCCCTGCGCTTATCCATGGTGCCACTCACAATTCGCATACCTGAGGCTAGGGGATAGGGACCTTCTTATACTGTCTTTCCAAAGAGTCCACCTCTTATACAGATATAAGATTCCTAGTTTTTCCACTACTTTTCGGGATAGAGTCCAGATCAAATTACCAACCACGATCATACTTTTTCTGTTAATGGATTCTACCTTTTATGTCCCCGGAGCACGCGCTTGTGAGTAATGCGTCAAAGTAGAGTGTAAATTTCTCTAATTATGTAGATCAACATTAGGGCTGTAATCTAATTATACGATCTAGCTCCTTCCGATCATCAGTGTACCCGGGTAGTCTTTTCAATATAAATACTCCATCCGTCTCAAAATTCTTGTCTTAGATTTGTCTAGATACGCCTTAAACATATAAAACTTAAGTATGTTCCAACAAGTGATAATTCCATGATAATCAGACGAAGTAAATCCATGCACAAATACATGTATAATTCCATAATGAGGTATTCCGAATATTAGTAATTCCTAGTAATTTGATAGTTGCAGGACACATAATTCCAACAAAGATTAATTAAATAACTAGCTTAGGCAAGAAGCTCGGTTGCCACCAATCAGGTTCAGACTTTTTTTCCCGGTGAATCGAGAAGATTCACACCTATAGCAGCAGCATGGAAGAGTAGGAAAATAAAAGGCAAAAAAGACAGAGAACGATAGCAGCAGACTGAGTCAAGTCAACCAATTCATCGCTGGCTTCCACTCGCGTGCATGGCCCAGGAACCCAACCCAACCCACCCAACTCGGTCCGGCCTGGCTGATCCACTACCCCCCTCCCACTGACTTTTTCCACCGCACACGCTGAGCAATATAGAAGTGGGAGGCGTCGGCAGCAGCCGGACTGGACCGGGGCACCAGCCGAGCAGACACATTTGCACAGGGTAGCATGTGCTATCTGCTCCGCCCTCTTCCTCCCCACCACACGCTCCTGCCCCGGGCAACTCACGCTCCTGCCCACCACACAGCCCCCAGGCACCTCTGCTGCGGCCTCCTCCGGAACACTTTCTACCGGCGCCTCCATTCCTCCAGCCCCGCTCCGTCGCCGAGTTTTCTCATCTCCGCGGCCGCCCCCTCCAACCACCAACTCCACCACCGCACCGCATATGCCCATCTCCGCCAACAGTGTTTGACGTACAAGTCAAGAACTATACCAAGAAGAGAGAGAAGTGAAAGCCACCCTTCGGGCCATGGACCCCGCGACGGCGGCCATGGGCTCCCTCCTCCCCAAGCTGTTCGAGCTCCTCCACGGAGAATACAAGCTGCAGAAGGGCGTGAAGAAAGATGTACAATTTCTCGAGAGGGAGATGAGGAGCATAGACGCCGCACTCCGCAAAGTGGCCATGGTGCCGCGTGACCAGCTCCATGACAACTCCAAGATCTGGGCCAATGATGTCAGGGAGCTGGCATACGAGATGGAGGATGTGATTGAACGCTTCATGGTGGGCGTCCAGGGCTTCGAGCCCGCCGCTAACCCCGACGGCTTCAAAGGGTTCGTGAAGAAGGTGGCCAGCTTGTTCACAAAAGGCAAGGCGCGCCACCAGATCGCCGATGCAATCAAAGGCATCAAGGATCAGGTCCAGCAGGTGGCGGATCGACGCGACCGGTACAAGATTGATGATGTTGAGGCAAGTCAGGCTACTGCAACCACCGTTGACCCTGTGGACCCTCGCTTGATGGTCCAGTTCAAAGATCAGAGAGAGCTTGTTGGCATCGAGGGGCCAAGAGACGAGCTAATCAAGAGGCTGGCAGATGAAGATGATTGTGTGTCCAAGCAGCAGCTCAAGATCCTCTCGATCTTCGGATTTGGAGGACTTGGCAAGACGACTCTTGCCAGAGCAGTTTACGACAAAATACAAGCAGAATTCGTATGCAAGGCTTTTGTTTCTGTCGGTCAGAAGCCTAATCTGAAGAATGTTCTGATAAGTATTCTCCTCCGAATTGAAAAAGCCTCTTGTCACAATATTACACTCTTAGATGAGGTACTGCTCATTGAAAAACTCCGAGAACTGCTTACGAACAAGAGGTACCAGTATCATCCTAATTTGCATGCTGCGAGAGATTTTCCTCATTGCAAATGCATATTTACTACTTCCTCCGTAAAGAAATATAAGAGCGTGTACATCACTATGCTCTTACATTCCTTTACAAAGGGGGTATATAGTTTAATTTTTAGCGGCCATAATAAAAAGTGAGGCAGAAATGGGCGCTTCACCTTCTTGCAGATTTTCACATAGTTAAGATTCAGATAGTATCGGCATACACTTATGTGTTTCAAGAAATTTTCATTCCATTTATTTACACGTAATTGAAAATGCATGTTTACCACTGAAAAAAAAGCACGATATAGCATATAGAGAATTGTCTCGCTAAATTAATCAATATACAATGTCTTGCTAATAGCATATTATAGCGCGCTGCAGCGCTAAAAGCATATTTTCAGGACGACGCTATTTTGTATAGCGTGCTATTTTTTTCCTTGATGTCTACTATAGTATGTCCTTTAAGCGGCGGTGATAAAGATTGAGGCGGAAATGGGGGCTTCATTTTTCTGCAGATGTTTTACATCAATTAGATTTAGATTGCATTTGCATGTTCTTTATTTGACAAAGCTAATATATTAACATCACAGAGACATCAATTACACCCAGCCTCCACAAAAACGAAGTGTCCTAAAGACATTATGCATGCACACACTGAAAAACAAATAGAAGAAGACAAATGAAAGATCCTGCTACAGTGATCGACTCCTTGTAACTGCAGTACGAACCACCATCAAGACAACACCCGAAGTCCAAAATCTCCAAAAGCGACACCTCTTAGAAGGAAACGGTGCATACGCGCCGTCGTCGTCCGATCATAGATTTTAGGTTTTCACCCTGAAAAAAACCGCGCTCTCAAAACAATGCCTTTAATAAAGCCACTGCCAGACATAACCAATTAAGGCCAGACCTTGAGTTTACACCCTGAAAGCTAAGACTCTGTACTCCTCCTGTGCTGCCGCCCCCACTTGCCGATATCGCGGCTACGAGTCATGAATCACCAAGCAAAGTCCTCGTTGCCTCGACTTGATCTGCCATTACTAGGCCTCAGACCTCAGCCATCATAATGTTCTTCACCACTGTCTTCACCATGGAAATCGAAATACCGACATGTCCCATAATGTCAACCGGCAACGAAGCTTTGGATCACACCCTCCTGGAGCCACACGGCCTGAAATAGGGACACACACGACCAAATCTCATCCGATCCAGCAATCTATATACGTCAAGCACCCAATGGAGATCTCCGGCGGAGCCCTCCGAAACTCGTCAACGGCCAGATCAATGTGGGATGAGGCTATAAGAACACCGTCTTGACGCTATAAGAACCCTAGGACCACTGCCAGAGGGGTACAGATCTCGGCAGGGACCCCCAGATCCGCCACCACTAGCCACCATGGTCGGCCCCCACGCTGCCTTCGCAGCCGTAGTGGCACAGCCGCCGCTGGAGCCCCTGGGGCCGCCGCCCCATCATTCCATCTCCGCCGCCATGCCGGGCGCCCAGGGGCGCCGCCTCGCCTTGGCCAGAGGCCCCCACATGAGGGGAGGAGGAGAGCCAGCCGAGCGAGCTTTGCTCGCCGGCCTCCTCTGGCGGTGGCGGGGAAGCAGGGGTACATGTTTTAAGCAAATTTTACCAGATTTACCTACGGTCAAATGTTCTTGCCAATTATATGCACCTATAGTAGGAATAAATGTTTATTCAGAATAAAAAAATAAAAAAAGATGTATTATATAAACTCTAATGGGCAGCCCCAGTGCATGTAGCTCCCGCTTGCGCAGGGTCTGGGGAAGGGTCCGACCACTTTGGGTCTATTGTACGCAGCCTTTCCCTACATTTCTGCAAGAGGCTGTTTCCAGGACTTGAACCCGTGACCTCATGGTCACAAGGCAGCAGCTTTACCACTGCGCCTATATAAACTCTAATGGAATGGATTAAATCAAACCCTTGCGTGTACTTTGATAGTGTCTTCCATTCATCATTAATCATTTACTTATGTCTCAGTTGTCCTAAAGTACCTTGTCGTGAATTGAATAAGGCCATTTTGAGTTCTTGGTTGAGACGCTTGCCATATTTTTTTATTTCCAGGATGATATTTTAGTTTTACTAATCCATGGGTCTCATGCTGCCATGTCAATAGGTACCTCATCATCATTGATGATATATGGGATTTGAGTTCATGGGATATAATCAAATGTGCTTTTACTAATAGTAAGTGTGGAAGCAGAGTAATCACAACTACTCGTATCTTTGAAGTGGCAAAAGAGGCAGGTGACATTTACAAGCAAGAACCTCTTTCTGATGGTAGATCGAAGGAATTGTTCTGTATGAGATTATCTATTGGCAAAAGCAAAAGCCCTTATCATGAATCGGTTAAGATATCTGAGAAGATATTGCAGAAATATGGTGGCATACCACTAGCTATCATTACAATAGCTAGCTTGTTGGCTAGTAAACCAGTAACAGACTGGCCTGGGGTCTATGACTCTATTGGTTTTGGGAACGAAGATAACAAAGAAGTGGATACCACAAGAAAGATATTGCTATATAGCTACTATGATCTTCCATATTATCCACGGCTTTGCCTATTGCACCTAGGCATATACCCCGAAGATTATGAGATAAAAAAGGACACTTTAATTTGGAAGTGGGTGGCTGAAGGATATGTCCATGAGGAACTAGGAAAAGGATTATTTGAGGTTGGAGAGAGATACTTCAACATGCTCATAGATAGAAGCATGATCCAGGCAGTGGAGAGGCCATATTATAGCATCATATATGCTTGTCGTGTGCATGATTTGGTACTTGATATGATTCATTTTCTCTCAGAAGACGAAAGTTTTGTTACTGCATCGAACAGTAACAGGACATCTCCGCGTACCACTGCTCATAGGTTAGCCATAAATAATGAAGTCATAGAGCAGGATGGATCTGTGGCTAACATGAGCATGAAGCAGGTGAGGTTATATAGTGCCACCATGTGTCACTTTAGTATGTTTCCATTGCTTTCAAACTTTAAAGCTCTACGTGTGTTGGCTTTAGAAGACTGCACTTTCATGGGAAGTGAGCGCTATGTGAAGCCGGAAAATTCTCCCTATCATCTTAATTATCTTGGGAGGCTGATTCACCTGAGGTACCTTGGGTTCTCGGACCGGCTGGTTGGGTTCTCCCTGCCTGGGATCTCCATGCCGCTTATCTTAGAGGTCCCTGAAGAAATAGGGGATCTAAGATTTTTGCAGGTACTGGACTTGGGCAGAATTGGCATTAAAAAACTGCCTCAAATTGTTGGTCGGCTAACACAACTGAAGTGCCTGCGCTTTGGCGGTTCCAGTATGGAGGTATTGGATTGCACGAGTTTAACATCCCTGGAAGAGCTACAGTTGCACCTTGTCTCTCTAGATTTTCTGAAAGGGCTTGCCAAGCTGAAGGAGTTGAGAAAGCTTAGCCTACACTTTGAAGAGGAGCACGATAATATGTTGTTCAAAGATTTGATGGGACATGTTGCCAATCTGCAAAAACTTAAAGTCATAAGTTTTAATTGTAGGCATCGACCGCATCCTCAGCCGTGGTCCAACTACGATGGCTCTGTGGCCCTTGGGCACCTCCGTCATCTGACAGTGAATGGCCTGCTTCCTGGGCTGCCAGTGTGGATTAACTCCTCATGCCTCCTGAACCTCTGCCACTTGCATATGGAACTGACGGCTATGAAATCGCAGGATATGGAGATCCTCGGGAGGTTCTCAGAGCTCATTACTCTGACCGTTCTTCTCTATGATTACATGGTTTTCCCTACCGCCATGGAGGAGGGTGCATTTCCCAAGTTGAGATACTTGGAACTGAAGAATTCTAACCAGCCCAGATTTGTACGGGGAGCAATGTCCTGCCTTGAGTGTTTTAGGATAATAATCGGCCTAGAAGGGACCAATGGCTGGGACTTCCATAGCCTGGTGAACCTCCCTCGTCTTGAGAAAGTTGATGCTGAAATCCTAGGCTACACTGGCAGGGGTATCGGCGAAGACGAGCTGCAGGCACATGAGTCGTTGAAGCAGGCACATGTGTCGTTGAAGCATGCAGTTGAGATCCATCCCAACCATCCCACACTCAAGGTACGTGCTACTAACATCGTAAATGTAATTTCTTTCTCATGTACCGTATGTACTTGTAAAAGGAGACGAGTTTATTTCTCATTTCACCTTTATTTCAGTTGCAGATTTATCATAGTTGATCCGATTTCCCAGCCGTCTTGCACTCAATGTACCTGTTACGTGTAAGATCAGAAAAGTAGTTTCTTTTCTCATGTTACTTGTAAAAAGAGAATTTCACTTGTTTTGTGATTTCCATTTTCATTGTCACAGTCCATGCATGTGTATTGATAAAATTCATGTTTCTGTACCACAATTTTGTACATAGTTCTAGATCATGTTAAGGTGTGTTGAAGTGTCAAGATTACAGCTGCAATTCACTTTTTTGATCCGCACCACATTTTTTGGTTCCAGAGATACTCTTCAGGCCACTGCCGCTCGTATTTTATGTCTGTAATTTCCAGCAGAGCTGTGGATTTGTTTAATTTCTCGACTGCTTGTATCACAAGGTTTTATGATGTACTATAGTTTGTAGGCTTTTTCAGTCATTCGATAAATAGTTCAAATGGTTTTACAGCACTTCTAGTTAGTTTCTTGTAGAGGGAGAAATTGAGCTTTCTGCTCAAACATGAACATAGATGATACTAAATATTGCTTGTTCTCTGTATTATTATTGCGTAATTTGTGTTGCTATCATCTTATCCTAGCAAGTAGCAAATTACCTTTTCATGAAATCATGACTTGTCTTCGTCATAAATGATTTGCCAAAAAATATGCACCAGTGCAATGTTATCATGATAAATGCATTCCCTTACCTTTTCACCTTAAATAATCAGAGTTCATATTTACCATGGAATTTGAGGTCTCCTAATTTAATTTGGACATGAGAGAATTAGCATACACTGACCCAACTTAGAGCCAATATCATATATTTCACCTCAATGTCTCAGTAGTTCTTGTATATATGCGTTAATCTCTGTAGGTTGGGATGGGCAAGTTCATTGCTCCATTCTCCTAATGAATCTGTGGGTGTCAGATATGGCTGCTTTGCCAGTGGTGCTTTTTTTAATTAATAAACGTTACCAAAGCTGTTGGTCCATTCTTCTGTAGGTTGTCGGTGCAAATGGTGCTGAGCAAACTGTTGTTAGCAGTTCCATGGAATTACTGAAACCATGTTGGGCAGTTGCCACGGGCACGTCTGGTCCATACACCACTCCTAGTTGATTCAGGGGAAGCAACCCATGTGGGAAATAGAAATACTTTCTCTTTCGAACTAGGATGGTTTGAGAGGGAGGGTTTCATGGAGCTCATTGCGACTGAATGGGCTAGGGACTCTGGCGGGTCCTCTAAGAGATGGCAAAACAAAATTAGACATTTACGCCAGTTTTTGAGAGGCTGGGCCAAAAATCAAAGTGGTATTTATAAAGTTGAAAAGGAGAGATTGACACGAATTATTAATGAACTTGATGTGAAAGCGGAATCCACTCTTCTTAATATTTCTGAGCGAGATATCAAGAAAGAGGCAGAGAAGAAGTTACAAGCCCTTATGAGAGAGGAAGAGATGAAATGGGCGCTTAGAGCAAAGATTTCTAAGATCGTCCAAGGGGATGATAATACACAATTCTTCCACATGATAGCTAATGGGGAACATAGAAAGAAAAAAATCAGTTAGAACAAGATGAGGATACAATTGTAGGACATGAGAACCTAAAATTGTACATCTCCAATTATTATAAGAAACTTTTTGAAGCACCCGAAGAAAGTTTCGTATATCTAGATGAGAGTGCGATCGGGGACATACCTCAACTCAATTCAGATGAGAATGAGGTGTTGTCTGCCCCTTTTTCCGAGAAAGAGGTGTTTGATGCAATAATGCAAATGAAGCATAATAAAGCGCCCGGGCCGGATGGGTTCCCGACGGAGTTTTATCAAAAATGTTGGCATATCATCAAGCGAGATCTTATGCCTATGTTCCATGATTTGTTCGATGATCACTTGAATCTGTTTCATCTTAATTTTGGAACAATAACGTTGTTGCCAAAGAAGGTGTGGAAGCTATTCGCATTGAGCACTTCAGGACGATTTGTCTTCTCAATGTTAGCTTTAAGATTTTTACAAAGGTTGGCACGAATAGGCTGACTCGGATAGCCCATTAGGTTGTGCAACCAACTCAAACTGCCTTCATACCAGGAAGACAAATCCTTGAAGGGGTTGTAGTCCTACATAAAACATTGCACGAAATCCATACGAAGAAACTAGATGGTGTTATCTTCAAAGTGGATTTTGAAAAAGCGTATGATAAGGTCAAATGGCCTTTCCTCCAACAAGCCTTACGTATGAAGGGATTCAATGAATCTTGGAGATCTCAGGTGGATTCCTTCATACAGAAAGGCCGTGTCAGGATAAAGGTCAATGATGATACAGGTCATTATTTCCAGACACGTAAGGGGTTACGACAGGGGGACTCCATGTCTCATGTGTTGTCTAACATTGTAGCGGATATATTGGCAGTACTTATTGGTCGGGCTAAAGAGAGTGGCCAAGTAGGAGGACTCATCCCACATATTGTAGAAGGGGGAGTATCCGTTCTACAATATGCGGATGATACTATTATATTCATGGAACACGATCTCGCAAAAGCTAGAAATATGAAGCTAGTTTTATGCCTTTTTGAGCAACTATCTGGGCTCAAAATCAACTTCAATAAGAGTGAATTGTTCTGCTTTGGGAGAGCTAAAGAAGAACAAGATGATTACAGAAACTTGTTCGGTTGTGAAATGGGATCTTTACCATTTAGTCATCTAGGGATCCCAATTCATCATCGATGGCTAACGAACAAGGAATGGAAGTGTATTGAAGATAGATTTGAAAAAAAGCTAAGCTGCTCAAAGGGCAAGCTAATGTCTTATGGAGGTCAGCTGGTTTTGATAAATTCGGTTTTGACAAGTTTGCCGATGTTCCTCTTATCTTTCTTCGAGGTACCGGTAGGGGTATGGAAAAAACTTGACTTCTATAGATCCCGATTCTTTTGGCAAAGTGATGAGGCCAAGAAGAAATACTGACTGGCTAGATGGGATATCGTGTGTAGACCAAAAGACCAGGGTTGGTTAGGGATCGAAAATTTAGAGGTTAAAAATAGATGTCTGCTTAGCACATGGTTATTCAGAATATCTACCGAAACCGAAGGCATGTGGATACAAATCTTGCGGAATAAATACCTACACTCTAAGACTTTGGCCCAAGTTAGCGCAAGGCCAACAGACTCACCCTTTTGAAAGGGATTAATGAGGACAAAAGTATCTTTTTTCCAATGGATAAAGTTCTTAGTTGGTAATGGTACCACTACTAGATTCTTGGAGGATACCTGGCTAGGGGAGACGCCTTTGACTTTACAATATCCTTCCTTATATAATATTGTGCAACGTAAGGAGGATTATGTCGCCACAGTATTAAACTTGATGCCGCTTAATATCCAGTTTAGGAGATCCCTTGTAGGGGAACGCTGGCATGGTTGGCTGCACCTAGTCCGTAGGTTGATGGATGTTCATCTTTCGGACCAGGCTGATACAATCAGTTGGAAGCTAACCTCGAATGGAATTTTCTCTGTGAAATCCATGTATTTGGACCTAATTGATTCTGGGCCATTGTCGAGGTCTTTACACATATGGAAGATTAAAGTTCCGCTTCGCATCAAAATCTTTATGTGGTTCGTTCACAAAGGAATTATTTTGACCAAAGTTAATTTACTAAAAAGAAATTGGGTTGGTAACTCCACATGCTGTTTTTGTGACCAAAATGAATCGATTAAACACCTCTTTCTCCGATGTCCGCTTGCACAATTGTTATGGAGATCAATTCATATAGCTTTTAACATTCATCCACCAACGAGTATAAACACGTTATTTGGGATGTGGCTTAATGGTGTGGATAAACACATAGCTAAACATATTCGGATAGTGATATGTGCACTTTTATGGGCTATATGGAACACGAAAAATGATATGATCTTTAATGGGACAAACTTCGCTCTTTTTTTGCAGGTCATCTACAGAGCTACTGCTTGGATCCGTATGTGGTTGTTACTCACTCATGCGGACTTCAAGGAGCCTTTGGATATTGGGTGCAACCTCTGGGAGACGGTAGCTCGGGCTATCTTCAGCTGATTTGGATGGTGAATTAATAATAGGCTAGGTGTGTAGGCATCGTAGTCTATTTTTCATCATCGGATATGGAGCGTTTTCGCCGAATGTGGCACGTTACAGATTTATTTGTCTCTTTGCTCGGTTTATGAGCTGCATTGAAACTTAAGATTTTGCTACACTTTTTAATAATATGGCCATATGTATAGATTGATGCAGAGGTCGGAGATAAACCTCTTTTTTTAAAATAAAAATAAAAAAAAAAGTTGCCACGTCTGGTGTATCGATGCGGGAGCAGCTTTTAAATGTTTCAATCTGCCACTACAACCATCTCAATCTGTTCAATCATGGTGACTTTTCAAGAAGTTTTGGGAGGACATTTGATCCATGGCTTAGAGGTGGCGCGCGGCACCAATTCTGCTGGAGAGAGACGATGGTCATATACACAGAAGAGGAAGTCATGGCGATATCATCTTTCTAACAAGCCGGGGAGAGGTCGGTATATTTCTTTTAGCGATTTTGGACGCATCAAGTCGACGGCACTAGCTTGTCTCTTATGAAATAATGAGCAGCGTTTTATCTCCAATACCCTGACTTGTTTGTCTATCATCGTAGGTGAGCTCATACTCTACTTGGTCATGATGCGACATGGACGTGGCAACTATCGACAGACGCGACGTGGACAGAGAACACCGCGATCCCCACTCTCAAAGCCTTCTCTCTGCGAGTCTACGACCCAAAGCAGGTGATCATCGCTGGCGGCGACCAGGACGCCGTGGTGATATCTCCTTCCGGTGTCCTACTGGCGTCCATCGACCTCCCTGTGCCGCCGACTCAAGCACTAATCCTCGAGGATTTCTCCGGCAATGGGCTGACTGATTTCATCCTGGTGACATCCGGGAGAGTGTATGGATTTGTGCAGACGAGGCGGCCCGGGGCGCTTTTCTTCGGCATGCTCGTCGGCTGCTTGATCGTCGCGATCGTGGTGATACTTGTTTCTCTGCACTCAACTCGTCGAACAACGGTAAACCAAGGTCGTCTTCGACCGACTACAGGTGACTACGACAGCGGTGTTCTGCTGAGAGGATCTTGTGAACATCCCCGGCACGGCAGTGAGGAGATGTTATAGTGTTGAAGCTAGACTTTTACAGTAGTTTGCTGGAGGTGTTTAGCTTGTGTCGTGTAAGTATTTGGGTTGGTGAACTTTTGTTGTTCTTCCATATAATCCTTCGTTTGCATTAAATCTCAAGTGTATATACCTGAAGATCCCGTAAGATAAAACACACCTGAAGCTATCGAGAGTATATACTCAGGCTGCAGCGTGTCTCCGAAGCCAAGGATAAGGCAGAGAAAAGTGATGATATTTAATTAGAACTTGTATCCAAATCAATTAATCCATGAACAAATTTCTTCCAAGTAAAAGCCATCAGTTCGTGGGCCACTTGGTCAGAGGCGCGCCATGTATTTCAAATTTGTATATATGCACAATTTGTGAGTAAAGCTATTGATAAAATCTAAGGGAATCTTCTGCCATGAAAGAAATGAGATATTCGCATTCATTCTCGCTGATTATTGACACATGTTTCAGGATTCGTGCAAAGAAAGTTTTGGAAAGCATAGAAGAGAAACAAATAGAACAACGTACTTTACACAGCCAAGTAGATACTAAGAGTCTGTTTGGTCCATTGGTTGATGACTAAACATTGCCATGGTTAAAATAATACAACAGCATAGCTACCACAAAAAGTGTGGTGAACAAAATCAAGGCACGGAGGCTGATTACAACCAAATCGAATTATTGGATCCCAAGCCTGAGATGAGAACCTCTCGATTTTATGTACTCCTGTAGCTTGCTGATGGTATTGCCTCCATAGGAAGAGCAGGACTCACCCACACAGCCCTGGCTGGCCTGTAAAATAGCCACATAATGTAAGCGTGGTTATTATACATAAGTGAGCAACAGATCAGTGCACGTACGTATGTGTATGTGGTGTACACAGAAACATTTTCTCTGAAAATTTCAAATTTGCAAGGGATTCGTACCTGAAGATTGATTATAGAGCACAGTTGGCTCGCTTCCTGAAACAGATATAGGAAGTCATTAGTAATATATGTATACAGAATACAGTAACTGGTGAAAATTAAAAACCATAGTAGAAACATGTACACACGCTACAAGAAAACAAATTGCCCAATTATTTCCTAATATCCGGTGGTCTGAAATTCAAAATTTCCAAAATGCAAAGAAAAGTTTTGACGGTCCGTCAAAACTTTTTTCAAAATGACCGAAGTGGGGGCATAATGTTTTCAGAAACCTAGTCCATAACCCTGGTTCTCATCAGCAAACAATAAAGAATAATATTACTATCGTAATACGTTTTTTTCTCAAAAACACCCTGGCCATAGCTGCATCATTAAAGTAAATAAGAATACTACTTGTACATATTGCAACAGCGGTTAATTGATTACACGGAGTGGGAGTATGACCTTTTGCGGTGTGTGCTTGAGACTGATTTTTCTTCTACTCCGTATCCCTAGGGGCGAATCTGCAAAAGAAATGAGGTGACGTGAGAAAGAAACTCTTTTTTACAAGAACATGAGAAAGAAGCTACATTTGCGATGTTAGTAGCACGTACATCGAGTGAGGGATGGTTGGGATGGATCTCAACTGCACGCTTCAACAACGCATGTGCCTGCTGCACGTCGATATCCATGGCAGTAGACCTTGGACCTGGAGGGTACCAGATTTGAGCTTCAACTTTCTCAAGACGTGGGAGGTTCACCAGGCTATGAAAATTGAAGGCATTGGTCAATACCATGCCGAAGAACCGAAAATACTCAAGGCTGGACATTGCTCCCCATACAAATCTGGGTTGGTTAGAATATCTCAGTTCCAAGTATCTCAATTTAGGGAATGAACCCTCCTCCATGGTGTCAGGAAAAACAACGCCATCATGGCAACAAATGCATAGAGTAATGAGCTCTGAGAACCTCCCAAGGATCTCCATATCCTGCGATTCCATAGCCATCAGATTCATATGCAAGTGGCAGAGGTTCGGGAGGCATGAGGAGTTAATCCACACTGGCAGCACAGGAAGCAGGTCATGCACTTCCAGATGACGGAGGTGCCCAAGGGCCACAGAGCCAGCATAATCAGACCATGGCTGAGGATCCGATCGATGCCAACAACGAACCATTATGACTTGAAGTTTTTGCAGATTGACAAGAAGTCCCATCAAATCTTTGAACAACATATCATCGTGCTCTTCAAAGAATACTTCGAACACTCTCAGCTCCTTCAGCTTGCCCAGCCCTTTCAGAAAGTCTGGAGAGACACGGTACAACTGTAGCTCTTCCAGGGATGTTAGATTCGTGCAGTCCAACACCTCCATGCTAGAACCGCAAAAGCGCAGGCACTTCAGTTGTGTTAGCCGACCAACACTTCGAGGCAGTTTTCTTATGCCAATACTTCTGCCCAAGTCCAGTACCTGCAAAAACCTTAGATCACCTATTTCTTCAGGCACCTCAACAATAGGCGCTCTTGAGAAACCAAGGTACCTCAGGTGAATTCCCAACATCCTTAAGATGATTAGGAAAAGCTTCCGGCCTCACAAGAATTTCCTTATCTCCCCTGAAAGTGCACTTTTCTATAGCCAACACACGTAGAGCTTTAAAGTTTGAAAGCAATGGCAACATACTAAATTGACACATGGTGGCATTATATGACCTCACTTGCTGCATGCACGAGTTAGCCGCAGATCCATCCTGCTCTACGACTTCATTATTTATGGCTAACCTACGAACAGTGATACACGGAGATGTCCTGTTACTGTTTGATGCAATAACAAAACTTTCATCTTCTGATAGAAAATGAATCATATCAAGTACCAAATCATGCACACGACAAGCATATATGATGCTGTGATATGGCTTCTCCACTGCCTGGATCATGCTTCTATCTATGAGCATGTTGAAGTATCTCTCTCCAATCTCAAATAATCCTTTTCCTGGTTCCTCATGCACATATCCTTCAGCCACCCACTTCCAAATTAAATTGTCCTTTTTGATCTCAAAATCTTCGGGGTATATGCCTAGGTGCAATAGGCAAAGCCGTGGATAATATGGAAGATCATAGTAGCTATATAGCAATATATTTCTTGTGGTATCCACTTCCTTGTTATCTTCATTCCCAAAACCAGTAGAGTCATAGACCTTAGACCAATCTGTTACTGGTTTACTGGCCAATAAGCTAGCTATTGTAATGATAGCTAGCGGTATGCCACCACATTTCTGCAATATCTTCCCAGATATCTTAACCGGTTCATGATATGGGTTTTTGCTTTTGCCAATAAATAATCTCATACAGAACAATTCCTTCGACCTATCAGGAGAAAGAGGTTCTTGCTTGTAAATGTCACTTGCCTCGTTCGCCATTTCAAAGATACGAGTAGTTGTGATTACTCTGCTTCCACAGTTACTATCAATAAAAGCACATTTGATTATATCCCATGAACTCATATCCCATATATCATCAATGATGATGAGGTACCTATTGACATGGCAACATGAGATCCATGGATTAGTAAAATTGAAGTGTCTTCTTAGAAATAGAAGAAATATGGCAAGAATCTCAACCAAGAATCCAAAATGGCATTATTTAATTCAGGACAAGGTGCTTTAGGACAACTGAGACATAAGTAAATGATTAATGATGAATGGAAGACGCTATCAAAATACATGCAAGGGTTTGACTAAATCCATTCTATTAAAGTTTATATAAAGCATCCATTTTTAATTTTTATTCTGAATTAACATTTATTCCTATTAGATGCAGATAATTGCCAAGAACATTTGACCGTAGGTAAATCTGGTAAAATTTTCTTAAAACATGTAAGAACATGCATATGCAATCTAAATCTAATTGATGTGAAACACCTGCAGGAAAATGAAGCACCCATTTCTGCCTCACTCTTTATCACGGCGGCTTAAAGGATACTATAGTAAACATGCATTTTCAAATTAGGTACAAATATATGGAATGAAAATTTTTCTCATAACGCATAAGTGTAGGTCGATACAACCTGAATCCTAACTGAAGTGAAAATCTGCAAGAAAGTGAAGCCCCCATTTCTGCCTCACTTTTTATTATGACCGCTAAAAATTAAACTATATAGCAAATATACATTTACAATGTGGAAAATCTCTCACAGCATGCAAATTAGGAGATAGTGGTACCTCTTGTCTGTAAGCAGTTCTCGGAGTTTCTCGATGAGCAGCACCTCATCTAATAACAGTGTACCATTGTCACAAGAGGCTTTGTCAATTCGGAGGAGAATACTTATGAGAACATTCTTCAGATTAGGCTTCTGACCGACCGAAACAAAAGCCTTGAATACAAATTCTACATGTATCTTGTCGTAAACCGCTCTGGCAAGAGTTGTCTTGCCAAGTCCTCCAAATCCGAAGATCGAGAGGATCTTGAGCTGCTGCCTGGACACACAATCATCTCCATCCGCTAGCCTCCTGATTAGCTCATCTCTTGGCTCCTCGATGCCAACAAGCTCTCTCTGATCTTTGAACTGAGCCATCAGCCGAGGGTCAATGATGGTTGTAGCAGCCAGACTTGCCTCAACTTCGTCAATCTTGTACCGGTCACGTCGGTCCACCACATCCTGGAGCTGGTCCTTGATGCTCTTAATCGCATCGGCGATCTGGTGGCGCGTCTTGCCTTTCGTGATCAAGTTGGACACCTTCTTCACAAACCCTTTGAAGCTGTGTTGGCTAGCAGCAGGCTCAAAGTCTTGGACGTCCACCATGAAGCGTTCAACGACATCCTCCATCTCGTATGCCAGCTCCCTGACATCACCGGCCCAGATCTTGGAGTTGTCATGGAGCTGGTCACGCGGCACCATGGCCACTTTGCGGAGGGCAGCATCTATGCTCCTCATCTCCTTCTCGAGGAATTCCACATCTTTCTTCACGCCCTTCTGCAGCTTGTATTCTCCGTGGAGGAGCTGGAACAACTTGGGGAGGATGGAGCCCATGGCCGCCGTCGCGGGGTCCATGGCTCTATTGGTGGCTTTCGCTCCTCTCTCTGGTGAAGTTCTTGTCTTCTGCGTATGACAGTAGTTGTGTGATGTTGGTCTATGAGCTTTGTTGTCCTTTATAGAGCCAAGCCAGCTGACCGATTTTCCGGAAGGAATCTGGGGTACATGTATCAATCTTTTCTCTTCTTAATTACACACTTTACTTAATGCACTACGGCTAAGCTAGTACACCAGAACTAATCACCAGATCAACCGTGCCAAACGCACATGGCCTAACCCCTTCTCCAAGGTTGCACTAATCAGGCAGATCCAAGGATTGACTGTTTTTTTTTTGCGGGGACTGTATTAACTACTAGAAAATGATATTTTTGTAGAGTTCGCATGTATATGACGTGATACGTGGATCCAGGCATCCAGCGGGTTTTCAGCCAAAAAGCCACAATATTCACTTAAAAGTCAACTAATATTTGAACCTTTTGAAAAATATTTGAATTCATTTGTACTACTGAAATTGCTGAAATATTTTGGCCGAAAGGTAAATAGTTTGGCCGAAAGGTAAATATTTCAAAGACTGCTGAAATTAATGAAACTCAGTGAATTTCATCGAAATCTCACTGAAAATGAAAACCATTCCAGCCTGTAGCACTCAGACTGGTCTTAAGAGATACTGTAATGCATTGGAATAGTTGCATCCAAACATCTATACTATCACCCTAAGAGAACATGCATGACAAGAGGATGCACTGGCACTGGTCTTGTTAGTACAAGTAATTATAGTTGTATTCATGTGCAATTCTCTTATTTGCCACAAATCATATGAAGGCGCCTCTTTTCCTATGGCTATAATAATGATGATGATGATGATGATGATGATGACGACGACGATGAGGATGAGGATGATGAACCACTCAAATCCTAGGGCAAGCATTTCAGCAACTATTACTATGTTATGTAGATTTATATGATAGATTAAGCAACAATTCATAAATACTACTACTTCTGAAGAAGAATGTAGCTAATGATGCTAGTTTCATGTCACGTACTGTACACCACATAGCAACAAAGCAATTCCTAGTCAAAGTTTTGCCATGGCGAAACAAAAGTACGGTTCGGCCATAGCTACACATCACATAATAAGTAATTAATCTCAATTTGTGGATCAAAACCTAGCTAGGTTGGACCACTCAATGTATCGTCTGAACTGATACCATTAGCTAGTCTATCTTAACAAGCAACTTGATCCATTTGGTGGATGCATGTTGTCACATGGGGATGGTCCGATGCATCACGGGTGGTACCTAATCCCTCCGTCCCATGATATAAGAGCGATTTTTACACTGGTGTATACAATGAATTACGATATCGATTTGATAGCTATGCAGCCGGTTCTGAATGTGATGGCGAATGTGCACATTAGTCAAGCTGGCACCATCAAATTTGACTTATGCGTACAAATCGATGCGTACGAAATCTTTATATAAGGAGCAGGGGAGCAGGCGTAACCATATGCGCCATTCACTAATTTATCCCGGGACGGCCATTTACTTTGAATTCCTAATTTGATGCATGTCAGCCAGCTGTCTGACGTACAGACATATATTGTTAAACGAGACTTAGCTGCTAACACTTGCATTTGTGACATGATTTGGATCGAGGTACCTACTACTACTAATTAAGATGTAGCTAGTGAGCAGGTCTGAAAATGATGCACCGACAGTTTCAGACATTGTTAAACGAGACTTGGCAAGACTACTGGCCAGGCCTATCTGTTATTAGGATGGAGCCAGGTCAGAAGACATTGTTATAAAAGAGGGTTAGGTATACCACTTGCAAGACCAAGTTGTGGGAGAAGACTTTGGATAGATGGAGCCAAGTCTAAATACAATAGGACAGAAATTTCAGAGATTGTAAAACGCGAAATGACTAGCAGGCAATGTAGCATTCGAAGCGCTTCAAGAGCTATAACTTCGTCGCTGCTACACATACCATCTGGATTATGGACGGACACGATTAGCCACTGACCCGGCTGAATCCCGGGCAAGCAAGCGTCAGCTCAGGGGATTGCTGAGTATCTGCAAGAAGGCACTTGCAACTGATGGTAATCCTGGACTACTGTACGAAGGCTTGGGCGTGTCCGTTTGTGGGCATCACTCTATGCCGGGGTCTATCTCAGCATCTCGTCCAAGTAGGATTGTTGGAGGTAACACCACTCTTGTGACACAAATGAGGTTCCCGCCCTCGGAATCAAGTTGACAAATTTAATTACTTTTTCTGTTGGCTGCTTTTGCGGGGAAATTTCCTGGCCGGACAGCTTCCCCCTGGGATTGACAGTAACTACGTTCTCTGGGCCTGCCTATCAATTCAAAATGCTCCGACGAAGAATGATATGCACTTCAGGGCAGCCATTCAGATACATGCCGTAAACCCAATAGTTTCCCCAGAAGGGCTCTTGACACTATCCAGAAGGGTCGGTGCAAATGTCCTCCCATGGAACGGCAGGGGCTGGGGATCTTGCTAGGTGCGACCAGCTCCGACGGTTTGCAGGCCGGCGTGATCACAAAATTGTGAGCAAGACGAAAAGGGGCACTAAAATGATGTGCACATGATGCATCTGCATTTGCCTGGGCAGACCCTCAGGTTTTTCAGGTCGCACGTTGGTGGACATGCTCTCAATTGGGAACGACATGCTCATCTGCCCTCCATGTTTACACATGTAAGGAGATACTAAGAGTCTGACTAACATTGTCAGAAACAAAGTAATAAGGCAAACTGTGGCTGCCACAAAAAGTGTGGTGAACGAAATTACCACCACAAGCATGCCAAGATTTTGGCAAAGATACACAAAACATCCACCAGAAAGATGTTTGTTTGGCTAGCGACACAGTCCACTCCCTACATATCAACCAAGGTCTACAAGCAAAAACAATATGCATCAATCATGACACAGAGAGGCTGAGTACAACAAAGTCAGGTTATTGGGTCGCAAGACTGAGAGATGAGAACCTTATGATTTTGCTCATGTAGTTTGCTGATGGTGTTTGCCTAGCAAAAAGAATAGGACAACCCTGGTTGTTATCTCTGATTGATTCCTCTCGCTTATACCCGGAGTAAGAAATAACGAAGAAAAGACCAGCATGATATTCATTATGAACGAATGAATAGCTATCACTATTTCAAATAACCTGTAAAATGTTCTAATTATCATAGGAAAAATAAGGACTAAGACCATAGTTGTAGCTACATATATAGAGAACTTTCTTCGTTGTTTTCAGTTGAACTCCAACTAAGCAAAGAAAGCACTGCAGTTACCTGTTTTTTTTTCACTTTTTCTTGAACCAGGCACTAAGCACGACAGATGATGGGCTCGTGTCGACACTTTTGCCTAAGTCTTTAATAGTAGTGCCAACCTAATGTAGTCACATATTTAAGCATGTATATATAGATAAGTGAACAGATCAGTGTATGTATGTATTCAATGAAATTTCAAGTTCGCACATGATGCACACCTGAAAATTGATTAAAGAGCACAATTAGCTCGCCTCCTGAAACATATGTAGAAAGTCACTAGTAACATACATATGAATATACAGAATACAGTAATTCACGAAAACTACATCCTCACGAAGAAAAACCTAGCAGAAACATGTGCTTACACTAAGAAACAGTACTAAAAAATAATTACTCAACTGTTCCCTAATATCCCGTGGCCTTTAAATTTCCAAAATGCAAATGGAAGTCTTGACAGTCCGTCAAAAATGATTTCAAAATAGCTGAGGTGGGGAGCATAATGTTTTCAAGAACCAAGTCCAGAACCCTGGTTGTAACCAGCAAAATAATAGTAAAAACTATATATCTAAAGTGTCGACGCAGAAATAGAAGAAATACGGCAAGCACCTCAACCAAGAACCCGAAAATGGAACTATTCAATTTATGAAAAGGTGCTTCACAAGATAACCGAGACATAGGAAAATGACGGAAGCCACTATCAAAATACAGTCAAGGGTTTGGTTGAGTCCATTCTACAAGAGTTCTGTAAACTTTACTCCACAATTCAAATATATATACCAATACATTTATTGTTTATTCTATAAACTAACATTATTCCAATCAGATGCAAATAATTGGCAAGAACATTTGACAGTAGGTAAATCTGGTAAAATTTGCTAATCACGCAGATCCAATCTCAATTTTCCAGGATTGACTGACTCTGTGTTAACTCAGATCTGCCAGAAGGCATCTGCTTACATGTATCGTCTCTTCATTATGGAGCCCGCGCTAGCTATCACCGGATTAATTGTACCAAACGCACATGACATAACGTGTATATTACGCAGATCCAAGCTTGACTAATCACGCAAGCCCAACCTTGCCTAATCACACAGATCCAGGCTTGGCAGTGTTTAGTGCAGACATGGTCACCGTTGCAGAATAGTACAGTACCTTTTACGAGACAAAGAAAGCGAGCCACT